AGTAACCAAAAATATAAAATACAAAAATATTATATATATATATATATATTATGCAAAAATGTCTTGACAACGAAAAAAAGGCCGATTGGCATGTGCAAAGTAGGTGTCACTTATTATTTTATTTTTATCGTAAACCATAATATAAACTAAATCAAGAAAAGACACTAAAAATTATAACATTAACACAATCCCTAACTACTTGAGGTTGGAATTATAACATTAACACAATCCCGAACTTGCAAGTGGCAACTTCCTTTTTAAAAGAAAGGGCTATTTTACATATATACGCACACTTCAAACCTAATGCACTGTTCTTGGGGAGGTACATGCTGTTGAAGAATACACACAGTCCCACATCGGAAACTTAACAAAATAGAAAGTCTCATATAATGAATGAGTCCACTCCTAATAACATCGAGGCCTTTTGTATAAAACCCCACACCTACTAAACATGTGGTTAAGTTAGGGACAATATTGATGTTGCTAGTGGTGGGTCAAGGGTTATTATTCCTTAAAGAAAAATAAATAGTTAATGGGAATGGCTGATAAATAAATTTATGTTTTTACGCATATGCTGGGGATTTAGAGTTTCTATTAATCCCCATCTATTCTTGAAGGAACGTTCGGCTCTGTAGGGGAGTCTCACTGTCTTTAAAGCTATTGAAAGAGTTTTTCTCTTTCTCTGGCTAACCGGAATACTAAGACTTTCTACCGTTCGACTCCTGTAAAGGGGAGCCTCACTATCTTTCAAAGAAATTCTACCGTTCGGCTCCTGTAAAGGGGAGCCTCATTATCTTTCAGGGGATTAAAAGGTTTAGGATCAACCTGCTAGACAATAATTCCATAAACACCTAGCGGAGACGGTGACAACCTAAATAGGAAGATTACAACTCCGAGACATTCCAATAGAAAAACAAATTCTATGAAAATTCATGAATCAAAAAACACTAAACATAAATGTGAATTCGTGAATCAATAGAAGAGGCATGGTCTATTTGTTTCATCGTATAATCCATGCATGGACCTTTTTTTTTTTTTTTTTAGGGTTTGAATTACATTTTCTATAGATATCTATCAATCCATATCTCTTTCCTGGAAAATTCACGAGTCTGCCACTGTATATAACTACTCCTGAAGATAGCCCTAACACAGATGGAATTGACATTTCTGAATCAAGCCATGTCAATATCCATGACTCTATAATTGCAACAGGTAGTAATTTGGATCTTATATTTTTTTCATTTTCTTTCACTTGTAAATTAATTAGTATTATTACCGTGAACTCCTTGATATACATATGTATTATTTGGATATATAATTAACTTTTGTGGGATTTGTTTGTGTTGCTATCAATACAGCTCATCGGAATATCATCACCAACATCACATGCGGGCAAGGTCATGGAATTAGGTTCGTACGCAGTTTGAATTTTGGAAGAAAAAAAGTTCGGGAGACCACATTATTATACCACATTAAATGATTAGTATAATACCAGTACCCTAGTATCGTACAATATATCAAGCTGTTTTTTTTTTCTTTCTATTTTCGAACTCTTGAACTCTCCTCTCTTGATCTCCACCCTCCCTTACCCACTTAGGTTAACCCTATGTTACGGTAAAGAAACTAATGGGAGGTGTGGTTAATTTCTAACTTCTGCATACAGCGTGGGGAGCCTAGGTGAAAATGGAGTTTATGCCACAGGTGAAGACGTACACGTGCGAAATTGTAGTTTCAATGGTACCAAAAATGGGTGCTAGAATTAGACATAGGAGGTAACGACTAGCTAGATACGTTAAAACTTTTTGTTGTCGTTTTTCTTTTAATTTTATTTGGTGAAATAGTAACATTGATGTTGACACTTGCTATCTTACCCAATTAGAGTTACCTCTCATGAATCTTGAGTCTAAAATTTATGTGTTCCAATAGCCATCTAAGGCTTATAACCTCAATAAATACAAATTAAAAGCAAATAATTTATTTTTGTTAAAACTACCTTTCATTTTGTATTTTTCAGGGCGGTTTTGGGTATGCTAGAAAGATATAATTTGAGCAAATTAAATTGATAGCAGCTAAAAATCCTATTATCATTGACCAACGCTACTGTAATGGCAAACATGACAGTAAAAAATGGGTGAATTTTCACAATTTATAATTAATATTAACAAAGATTTACACGATGAAATAGAGCTAGTTTGATTTAATTTCTAATTATTATTATTTTGTTTTAAAATGTCATATGGACATACCGTGGCTTCCAAGGAACCTCTGGAAATGAGCAAGCCATTGTATTTGATTGCTCTGAGAATCCAGGTTGTCTCAACATTGTTATGGACCAAGTCAACATCACTTCAGCAATTACTGGAAAGCAAATTTTTGCATCTTGCACACCTATGCATAAATAGTCCATCCACATTCTTACTAGAAAAATTTTTATTCGTAGTTTTATACGTCTTTTAATCGAGATTTGTACGTTAATTCAATGAGCAATGAGCATTGTAATTGGCTTTTGTGATATTTCTGACATAAAAAGAGAAATTTATCTTTCGACCAAAAAAAAATAAAAAAAGAGGAGAAATTTATCTGTACTACAGTTTAAAAACTTAACTTGGAATTCGAATTTCAAAATCTGGGTTTTCTTCAATTCTTAATTTTGATGTTGGGTTTAATCAGAAGTTTTGATTTCTCTTTGGGTGAATGTTTAGTACTTTGATTGGTTTGAATTGGGTTAGAGTGACTTATAGAAAATGTTTTTCTGAAATTGGTTTGATTGGGCACTAATTTTCTTTACTAGGTGACTTCATCTCCTAAGTCACTCGTGTGTAAGTCAGCTGACCCTGGTGATTACTTACATTACTTGGTTGCAGAAAGATCATAACAAATTGAAAGATGAACAATAGAACTGTAAGAATTTCAGTTAAACGAAAATAATCCTTTCAATTTGCCTTGCAGAGCAACCAAGTACATGAGGTTGACAATGGCTAGTCATGTCATCTTTCAAATTCAAAATAAATCACTATCATTGTGGACAAATTTAATAACGCCAGTGATGATTTATCCGCTAGGCTGGCCATTTTGATCCTCAGCTCGCAAGCGGTTTGTTGTTCTAGCCAACGAATTGTGAAAGGTCTTTGTCATCGTTGGATGCAATAAGAGGATGATCAGTCCAAGCCCCTTCTTCAGTTCAGCCTGAGTTAATAGCAATTCCTGGAAGATGCCTTGGTTGAAAACTTGGATCCAAAGGTTTTTTCGATCTAGACAAGTAACACCAATACAGCTGCAGCCATTGGTGTCAAGAATGTTGCTCACACACCAAAGCGAGAGGTGAGTTCAAGGAAGGGTTCTTCACTGCAGGGGATTGTAATACCACCCATTGGATGATCGTATCCAAACTCTTCTTCCGCTTGACTTAACAAATCTTGGAAAGAGGACTGGTTCAAGTATGATAGTGGAATCACAAACCGCTTCTTCTGACTCTCCCCAACATAGACTGCAAAATAGCCTTTAGGGACATCTAAGGACTTCGACGGTACTTGGGTTTTCTTAGCATGTATGGTACCAGGCAACCGGAAACCCATAGTTTCAAGATTTCTATATGAGAACACAAAGAAGGAAGATTTCAAATGAATTGAGAAACTGAAAAGGCTTTGATAAGATATGTTTGGGAATAGAAGACTTGTGGTGCTTTGTTCCTGAATCTGATCATATGTATATATAGATGAAGTGGTAGCGTGAAGACTATCTGTTATATAAAAAGATTGGTCAAGAATCACTGGAATGGACCCATGTGAGAGACATTAGCTCACGGAATTTCACATGGACTTGTTGTCCAATCAATCAAGAAAAACTCACGAGTCAATGCCCATTCTAAACAAACACCATGTCCCACCTTAGTAGGTTATGAGACCAACAAGAGAAATTAAACACTCATATAGATTACGTTCGATCCAATTAAGTACATCAACTTGCTAGACAAACACTCGCGCAGAGGATTCTGTGCTGGATGCGCATGTCTTGCATTCTGCATTTTTTATATCTGTAGAATATGGTAGCTAGCTAAACAGTGATTTAGCCTCTGCTTTTCAATGCATGCATTTGTGGCCTCTATCCATAAGTAGCTCGGATCGTCATCATGGTTTGGGAGACATACTCACTTAAAGGGTCACCTGCATCTAGTCTTCCAAATCATCATGTAGAATTTGGTAGTGATGGACCTGCTTAGCTAAAAACAAAAGCTAAATTTACTTCAATAAACCAATCTGGAAATCAGATCCAAGTTTGCCTAGTTGTGAATAGGAAAAGTCTCTAATTTAACTCAGCTGCATCAGCATGCTAACACCTCTTAATACAGGGAGAAATTAGTGCCCATATATCCAACTTTATACCTGATTAGTCTTTTGATAAGAAGCAAGCCTTGCCTAATTTACCGAATTACCAAACTTCAGACAACAAAGCTACTGAGGAATCACACATTTATTGCTATTTTTTCCTCTATTTTGTTTCACTAAACTCTGCTACTTGTCCCTTAGCTCTAAGTGGCATTGGGATAAGGTGGGAAACTGGTAGCTGGATATCGTAGGTTCAATTTTTATCGTTTGTATTAAAAAAAAAAGGCTGCGATTTCACCAACACATAATAATGTAAGGCAGAGGGACCGATATTCACAAACTACTTTGCCAAAGACAAACGATCACAAGGTGACTAATCCCATTGATAGTTGGTCTAATTAACTTGATTTAGTGGATGACAAAATTTTAATATTTGACTTTTATGAGAGTGGAACGTTAACATGTTCTAACCATTGATTAGTGCTTTTTATTGAGAATTTGAAGCTCGGAGACTTAATCTGCTGCCTATGGTGATTATTTACATTTCTTGGTTGCCAGAAGAAAGTAATAAAATGAAAAATATCAATGAAAGAAAGAACTGTAAGCACTTCATATTAATGTGTCAAGTATTTTGATCTCAATTTTCCTTGCAGGACAATTAGATACATGGGGTTGACAATAAAGAATCTTGAAAGTCAGTGCTGCTGGCTGGCTTTTTTTTTTCCTCAGCTCGCAAGCAGTTTGAAGTTCTAACCCGTGAATTACTGAAGGATATCATCATATCATTCAGTTGATTCTCAATCCAAGACCTTCCTTGAATTCAGCCAGTTTTAGCGTCTCCTGAACGATGCATTGGCAGCGAATTTCGACCCAAAATTTATCTGTGAGAGAATTAATTGGCCCTTGTACAGCTGCAGCCAAAGGAGTCAGCATTGTGTCTATGGAGAATTTGAGCCTGGGCTCATACACCAAAGCTAGAGGTGAGATCAGGGAAAGTGTTTTCACTGCAGGGGATTGTGATAGCACCCATTGGATGATCATACCCGAATTCATCTTCAGCTCGAGTTAACAAATCTTGAAATGACGGTTGGTTCAAGTATGATACTGGAATCACAAACCGCTTCTTTTCACCCTCCCCAACATAGACTGCAAAGTAGCCATTAGGAACATCCAAGGACTTTGAAGGTACTTTGTTTTTCTTAGCATGTACAATGCCAGGCAACCGGAAGCCCATTGTTTTGAAATTTCTCAATAACAAGACTGTGGGAACCGAATTAAATCATACTCTAGGTCAAATAATTCCTTCCATTTGGGGATTATTTGACCTAATTGGGAATTACTCAACCTAATTGGGAGTTACTCAATTTAATTGGAAGTTACCCAATTAAATTGAGAATTACCAAATTAAGTTGTGAATTGATTTGATTCCTACCCCAATTCCCAATTAAATGAGGAGTTACCTAATTAAATTAGGATTTGATCTGATACCTACCACGATTAGGGATTTGATTTACCCTAATAAATCAAATCCCTAATTAATCAAATCAATTCCAAATAAGGGAGGAATAATTCCCTTCCATCTATGGAATTATTCCTCTGAAACCCTAATCTCGAATACCATTATAAATATTTGGCTACGCACAAAGGTCAAGGTACGTCTAAATTCCTACTGAAACTCTGCAGAAATTATTTCTCACAAACCCTAGCCACCACTTTCTTTCTCTCTCTGACACAAGGCTCC